AATGAAAAACAAGAATACAATATAGATTGACTTAATCTCCCCCGAAAATGGAATAGAAACACAACAGATGTGATGAGAATCCACATGAGCTAGACAAAAATAGATAATATCCATTCACGTCAAACACGAGATAAAATTGAATTAAGAGATTTTCTAAGTTTCCGCTCTAGTAAAATACTACTTTAATTTAACGCAGTCATGTTTTGGAATGATTTACTAATGAGAAATGCGGCATCATCACATTTTTGGGACGCTGACGTCATAGTTTTAGCCCGCGCAGTGATTTGCAAATTATTTTAATTTCAAAAATACCCATTTTTTGGAGAAAAAAAAAAGTATACAGATGACATTGGAATAACTAACAATAATTCAAATATATTTTTCAAAAAATGTGAATATTTACAAGAAACAAAATCAAGATCCCTCGTATCTTACCTATATCGAAAACAGGTGGTCTACAACCAAGGTTGCCTTAGAACTTTTATGACGTCATTTGGAATGCCTAAATCATACTAATAAATAAACTACACGTACCTGGAATTGTCCACCGATCTATAAATTTGCGGCAAATTGAGGTGGAGAATGTGGGGGATACCTATCTCTTTTAATCTTATTGGCGAATTATGGAAATCTTTCCTTGTCTAAAAAATATTATATTTGAGGTTAGGAATCTACCAAACCTAACAGCAATGAACTAGAGAGAGAAATGTATCCCCCACTATGTAGCTATTTTGGACGCACTAAGCAACATGACAAATGCCATATCCAACAAAGGTCGGTGCCATTCCAGATAATATGTGAAGTTTATAGTTTATTGGCCTGAACATAATAATTAGATCCTCTGATGACGTCATCTGTTCACCATTACCAGTCATTAAGTGGCGGACCAATAACAGTTGCTGCATATAGATACTACATTAGATGAGACTTAAAGACATAAAGCTATAAAGGATATAACTTTAGGAAATAAGGTTGGCTCTCTATTAAACCTTATGGATCAACAATCCCTGTCTTATTTTCCCTTTTTTGATCTATTGTTTCCGCAATATGCCCTGGAATGATTTATTATTATGTTTCACTAAATAATTCAAGAGAAAATAAAGTGTTTCAGATTTCAAATCAAGATAATGTCGGTCAAAACTGAAATGCCGGACAACGAGGAAATTCTCCCTCTCGCCGATTTGTTCCAGATAGTTTAATAATTACCATTTTTCGAGTGTTGCCAATCTGAATTTGTGAAATTACACGATATGCTAGTCAAATTACACGTCTTTACATGATCTTGGTACCTATTCTGTAACATCAAGAAGCAAGTATAGTTGTTTTTTTTTGTGATTTATGATTTTGGGAAATGGGTTAAATCCAGTCAAATTTGAGGGTTAATGCTCCTGATCATTGCTCCTCAAAAAAAAAGATGTGGCAACTACAGAAAAGCGGTCGGAAAGTAATCAAATTACTAATCTCTGGTTCCTGGAAAATAGGTTACTTTTGGACCTCAGTTTCCTGCAAGGATACTACACACTACTACTACAGGATAGCCTATCCTCTCAAGGCCTGTATAATTCAAATTTTAAGCCACCCTGCCATGCGAAAGTACCGGTGATGACGTAGGCAGCGTGTCGTTTGTTGTTTCTCGTCTTCACGTGGGGTAGGGTTTTTGCACAACAGGTTATGATTCCGCGGGTTTTTGCTTGACATCATCCTTGTTGAAACGCCTTCTAAAATCAACTACAAGACACCTCTGTGGCATTTCTAATTAGAAAAAAGCCTTATGAAGTCAGTAAAATAAAAAAAATAAAAAGGGTTTAGTCACAAAACAACCACACAATGCACTTAAAAAAGCTTTAAATTCTATACTGTCATATACGGAATAAGGAACTTTCGCCCCGGACGCCATTTTGGAATAGTTTTGACAGGTCGTTGGAATGCCTAATTGACCTTTTGTTTGGACGCCATATTATGGTGCGCGAACATAGTTGCCAAAAGTAGAAGAAAAAAAATTACCAGGGTACTGTCAACATTAAAAACTAAAGTTACTGAACAAATTACATTTAAAATTTAAATTTGCCGCCTATTACGAATGTTTTTGAAAAGAAAAACCATCATTTTTAGCTTGTATTGGGCAGAATAGAAATAATAGAATATCTACCTATTTACTTTCATTAATCAGAGAGAGAAAGTAAACAAACAAAAAGGATAGCGAGGATCAATCATTTAGTTATTTTTGTTTTGAATTTTGACAGCCTGCTAGTAATTTTTGTTATCTTCTTTTGGCAACTATGTTCGCGCACCGCAATATGGCGTCCAAACAAAATGTCAATTGATTTTGTTACGAAAATTAAATAAAAATCCTTATAACTCGTGCCTATTAATCATAGAAAAAGTATAATATTCTACTCGTGGGTAATGGCTATCACTCACTAGGATGATTCAATACTCGCCTGCGGCTCGGAGTTTTTGCTTTATGCAAAATTGGTTTTACTACATTAATTAATATTATGAAACAACTCTTTTTCATATCTCGTTTGCATCTTCCTTTTATCCTATAATCAATAGTATATTATTCAACGAGTGGGTAATGATGGCACGAAAGATAAAGCTTGCACTACGAGCCGCAGGCGAGTAGTAATCATCCGAGTGAGTAATAGCCATTACCCACGAGTAGAATATTATACTTTTTCTATGATTAATAAGCACGAGTTATAAGGATTTTTATTTAATTTTCGTAACAAAATCAATTAGGCATTCCAACGACCTGTCAAAACTATTCCAAAATGGCGTCCGGGGCGGAAGTTCCTTATTCCGTATATGACAGCATAGAATTTGAGGCTTTTTAAAGTGCATTGTGTGGTTGTTTTGTGACTAAACCCTATTTATTTTTCTATTTTGTTGACTTCATAAGGCTTTTTCCTAATTAAAAATGCCACAAAGGTGTCTTGTAGTTGATTTTAGAAGGCGTTTCAACAAGGATGATGTCAGGTTACTTTCAGTGCCCAACCTTTCAAATTTTTCCAATTAAACCGTAGAAATTATTTAGTACCACTGTTCCTGCATCTAAAGCAAAGCCACACTCGAAATATTTGTAAAGGGCCCCATACACTACGGTGAAACACGACGGTTTTCACCGCCGCGAGGAAACACGTCGTGCCAAAACCGAAGTGTGTGGTAGAAAACCGTCGTGTTTTTCTACCACACACTTCGGTTTTGGCACGACGTGTTTCCTCGCGGCGGTGAAAACCGTCGTGTTTCACCGTAGTATATGGGGCCCTTAAGAATCTAAGCTTTTGTAGGCCTTCATTTGCTTATTGCTGTAAAAACTAGGTCAAAATGTAAACAAATGTCAAATAGACATTTTTTCAAATTTATCGTTCGCCCACATCTCGATTTTCCTGCATTTAAGTCTTTAAATATTCACTCTGCATCTCGAAAAGTATATTATAACAAAGTGAACTGTAATTAGCTTGAAAATATTCCAAATTAACTCAAGATAAACAAACAAACGTCAAATTTGCAACAGTTGCCATGGTGAAAAATCACGTGGTTTGGAGAGCCTAATTATTCTGGTTCCTGGAAAAGAGGTTACCTTTGGACCTCAGTTTCCTGCAAGGATACTACACATTACTACTACTACAGGATATCCTATCCTCAAAAGGCCTGTATAGTTCAAATTTCAAGCCCCCCCCCCCTGCCATGCCAAAGTACCAGTGATGACGTAGGCAGTGTGTCGTTTGTCGTTTCTCGTCTTCACTTAGGGTTTTTGCAGCACAGGTTATGATTCCGCGGGTTTTTGCTTTACGCAAACTTGGTATTACTACATCAATTAATATTATGAAACAATTCTTTTTCATATCTTGTTTGCATTTTCCTCTTCTCCTATAATCAATAGTATATTATTCAACGAACAGGTAATGATGGCTATTACTCACGTTACGAAGGATGAAGTTTGCACTACGAGCCGCAGGCGAGTAGTGTAATCATCCGAGTGAGTAATAGCCATTACCCACGAGTAGAATACTATACTTTTTCTATGATTAATAGGCACGAGTTATGCGGTTTTTAATTTAATTTTCTTAACAAAATCAATTCACAATAATTCAGACACCTGCAAGACAAAGTGAGGTTAAGTTTTGTCCAAATCAGCTATCAAAATGACCGATTGGAAGGTTGAAGTATGTTGTCAACTTGTCGAATTTTCTGATTGGCTCTTAAATAGTGGAGTAGTGAGACCAGGATATTTTCATTCCTTGAAAACAATTAAGTAATGAAAAAAACTCACTGTATGAGTAATCATTCACATTGATTAATAGAAAATGGATGTATATTACGCATATTATTCAATACTCATAGAAAAAATTAATTAACATTTTTCCTCATAAATTTAAAAACGACCACTGGCGCAAACAGCTGACGACTTAGTTAATGACGTCGGCAATGATGTTACACCATATGAGCGCGATTACCAAAAACGAGGCCGATAAGCAATGCTTAGTGTTTAATATCCTTGGCCATAAGGGTAGTCACTTGACAGATCATTTGACAATTAATGTCACATTGGGACCGTAGCTTTAGATTGGAAAGCCGTGAAACAGAACAAAAATAGAGAGAATGTCAAATTTTTCAAATTACACGCAAAATACACGATTTTTGTTTATATTTGAAAAATACACGCAAGCCAATCAAAATACTCGCAAATCGTGTAATTACACGCTAAATGGAAACACATTTTTTGAAACTATTGTTTGGTTAAAAGTTGATATTAATCAAGCTGAAAGGCGAAAAACACTACTAATAAAATACAATTACCCATCACCAAGCTTATAAGTCCTCATAAGGAATAATTTTCCATAATTCATATAACCCGTTATTTTACAATTAAGAATAATAAATTAGGCACCACCTGACAAAAATTATTCGCCTTTTTGTTGCAGTATTTTTGAATTTATGCAATTATTGTATGAGTCAAACATGGTTTTCCCCCCTATAATAACAACAACACTTACCTTCCTCAGCATATCATTTCCAGTGGACGATGAAGCGGCATTATTTTTCGGTGGTTCAGGCATCGGGCGCATCATCACTCTCGCATTATTATTCCTACCGTCTCCCATCCTTCCGCTCTGTTCATCGTCCTGCTGATTCAACAATTCCTTCAATATTCTATCACGGTTTTCGTCCTGGTGCGAACTACTACTACTTGCATTCGATGTAGGCGGATTTGTCAGCAGCGACCTCAATCTAAAAACGTTTTGTTTTTTTAAAGAAAATAATTATTTCAATGCCAGGATTGTTTACCGTTGAGGTTCGGCATGACTAGGAGCCTCATCCATAACCTTGCTCTCTTTTTGATCTTCGACATTGAAAACTTGCTCTTGGTACTCGTCCATAATGCCAAAAGACATAAAATTGCTACTCTGTTGCTGACTGACTGGACTAGGTTGGGCAGAATAATGAGCAATTGGGCTTTGAGCCACTGTGGGAGCATTACTATAAGATGGATTGCTAGGTGGCCTGAAAATTACCAGGACTTAGTATGCAAGCAACAATAATTTTAATTAATTAAATTGCGAAACGTAGTTACTAGTCTATACAAGAAACAACCTTCATTTTTTTCTAATTAAATTTAACAAGGCGAATTATTTTAGATTATGAAACAGCTTGTTGCTAATAGTATTCATTGTTTTGTTACGAATTTAATTACTTCAAGTAAGATTCAAAAAATCCTAAAAATAGTCTCGAATAAAAATGTGTCAAGTTTGCACGCCCCTGTCACCTTTTAGTAATCGGCGAGAGAATTTTAAATTTGGTTCATTACCATATTGTTACATTGTGTCTTATTGTAATATCAAACGAAAACAGGCGATTCTGGGTCATCGAGCATGCTGGTACAATAAAATTCGTTTTGCCTACATGTTTATTGCAAAATGATAATTATTGAAGCATTTTTTATTTCAAGTTTAGTCAATATAACTCCTAGCCCTTGAAGTGTTCAACTTTGATGAAATTTGGATTCTAAAATTACTAATTTTTGCTTGATTAGAATTTATTGATCCATGTTGAAAGACGAATCCTGATTCTTTGTAATGTTTTTTAAGATGCTTTAAAGAGGGTGTGATCCTTTAAAAAACGACTTAAATCAAGAAAAAAATTCTTAATTGAAAACCGCAATCCTATATTCTAAATAGTCTCCGAGAAAACTCTTTGTGAATATAAATTATGCAGGAACTTGTGATGTCATAACCGCCGAAATCGCAGTCTTCTGTTCGTTCAGTCGTCAGTGAACAGAAAAAAAAGTAAAATGAATAAAAAACTGACAAAAAAGAACAGCACAAGAGAACAAAAAATAATTCTTACCTTGGTGCAGGTGTAGATACAGGCGTGCTCTGTCTAGAATTGGGTCTGGCAGCGTCGGGCCAACTGGGTTCCAGTTCCCACGTGGTGCTAGGAAAATCGAGTGTGGAAAAGTCGTTTTCTAAAAACTCCGAGGCGAAAGCACCCGCATTCGAAACCGGCGGAATTATACCCCCAGAGGGAGGCGCGTTATCAGAATTGCTAGGCCCGTTACGAGACGCTGGTCCAGCCCCATTGACTATGCTGGTCATCAATGGTCCACCGATACCTCCGCCTGGATCTAAGCTATCGTTATCACTATACAAAATAAGAAAATTTTCATAAGCACTAAGTTATTATACAAGTGAAATTACTTACCCAATAATCGAATGCGTGGCCATAATAAAATCGGTAACTTCACTATTCGCGTGCGGATTCGTCTTGAAAAACTTCGACTTAGTCTGAACGGGCACCAACTTATCGGGCGCCACCTGTATACGATACACCGAACTAATAGAAGTACCCGCACTGAGAGTTTCCTTGAGGTGCGCAGTTACTTTGTAAACGTCCTGCGCGGGCACCAGTTCGCGCAGCAGGCGCCCTTTGAAGTCTTTGCGCAGCGCTTGCGACACGCCCTCCGACACTCCCGAAGTGTCCACGCAGATGATTTTGCCGTTCGTGTCCAGCTTGGTCGTGAACTGTTCGAAATAACACGACGCCTTGTCGCGATGCGATATACGGCTGGCGACGCAAAGTAGACAAGGACCGCTGTCGCTGCCGTCGTCTTCGGAAACGGACAAGTGATCGCGCAGCTGCGTCGAAGAGATGTGCATAAGCTCGTAACAAGGAACCTAAAAATAATTTTTTATGATCTATTTAGTTATTTTACTATCACACCGCGCGGTAATAAATGTGCTGGACTTCAATTGCCGCCGAGTAATTTTCGCTAACCATAATGTGAATCTCGGCAGATTTATGGGGCTGTTAAAATTTTAAACATGCCTGCGGGTAGCCGTAAAGATGTTTGTAGGCGAAAATATGCCAATGAAATTGTTATAGACTTGTCTCGTCGATAGTAAATTATTCATATTGCTAAATGATCTGTCGCTCAGTATTCCATTGTCACTACTTGTTGTTGTTAATAATTTATTGGACAAGTTTTATGCTTCCTTTTGTTTTAATTCTATATACTCTGTTTTTTAATCAGAGGGTACGCATCTCGTTCATAAACTGATGTTTGTTGTGATGACAAGAGATAGAAGAGGTGAGCTGCTCGAGGGGAGTTATGGTGGGGATGCATCAGAGGTGTAAGCAAGACCCGCTCTGCTCTTTAAACCCGTTATTTACTTGACCAAAACAGTGGCGGCTCGTGACTATTTCAAGTGAGGAGGCTAAAAAACAATGAATTACGGTAAGGTAACCACTGCGCGGAGGGCAAAATTTGATTCGGAATGCCCATGCCCTCAATAATTTATCTCAAATTCAATGAAAACCATGAATACTCGAGAAAATGTTCCTTTTCTTCGTGTAAGTAGATATTTTCAGAGTTAATTTTGACGAAAAATAATAAATAAAAAATATGTACAAGGAAGGCACAAATTGATAATTATGATTAATAATAATTCTATAACTTCCGACTAGAAAAGTAACATGGAACTCTCAATGCATAAAACAGAGATAAAAAAAAAGCAAGGATGGCAGTTTTCAACTATGCGTGCGGCTAGCCGCTCTTCGAAACTATGGTTACTGAACGCCAGTAGTGGTTCGATATGTTTCCGGCATTTCTATTGGAGGCTCAGATCCGCGGTCCATTTGAATGCTAGATTTCAGTGAAACATGTAAGAGTCTAGCCTCCAGTCGACCTTTAATGTCAGAATAATTGCAGGACAGGGATTCTAACAAAGTGGCCTCATGTCGGGTACCCACAATTTTTTTCTGGTCAAAATCGAAATTACCTTTTTCATCTTTTTCCGGCCTTAAGATGCGCCATAGCGAGGAGAGCCAATTAACTTTTCGACGCATTTTTTGCTTCTCTTTCCAATGTCATTTTTTTTTTCCAAATTTAAAATTTGAATTTTTTCGAAAAAAATCTATGGGGATATAAGCCTTCCAACTTTTTTTTTTTTAATTTTCAAAGCGTCCTAACTCGAAAACATAAAACTCGGGAGAAAAACTTCAAATACAAAACTTATAGATCTCGTCGAGTACTACAAAAAAGCCTATAAGAAGTATCCCGCCACGGGACACCGTTTTCGAGAAAATCGACCTGGAAAATCAAGAAAGATGGGGAGGCTAACTTTTTTCCGGTACATCGGAGAGAACTGAAACTCGGAATATCGACTAAAAATCACATTTTGAATATTCCCGATTTTTGATTGGCTCCAAATTATCCGCAGACCAATAGAAATATAGACTGGGCCCCGTGATTAAAATAACTCTAGCCCTTCGGGCTCGCGTATAACTCCGGCCCTTCGGGCTCGCGTATAACTCCGGCCCTTCGGGCTCGCGTATAACTCCGGCCCTTCGGGCTCGCGTATAACTCCGGCCCTTCGGGCTCGCGTATAACTCCGGCCCTTCGGGCTCGCGTATAACTCCGGCCCTTCGGGCTCGCGTATAACTCCGGCCCTTCGGGCTCGCGTATAACTCCGGCCCTTCGGGCTCGCGTATAACTCCGGCCCTTCGGGCTCGCGTATAACTCCGGCCCTTCGGGCTCGCGTATAACTCCGGCCCTTCGGGCTCGCGTATAACTCCGGCCCTTCGGGCTCGCGTATAACTCCGGCCCTTCGGGCTCGCGTATAACTCCGGCCCTTCGGGCTCGCGTATAACTCCGGCCCTTCGGGCTCGCGTATAACTCCGGCCCTTCGGGCTCGCGTATAACTCCGGCCCTTCGGGCTCGCGTATAACTCCGGCCCTTCGGGCTCGCGTATAACTCCGGCCCTTCGGGCTCGCGTATAACTCCGGCCCTTCGGGCTCGCGTATAACTCCGGCCCTTCGGGCTCGCGTATAACTCCGGCCCTTCGGGCTCGCGTATAACTCCGGCCCTTCGGGCTCGCGTATAACTCCGGCCCTTCGGGCTCGCGTATAACTCCGGCCCTTCGGGCTCGCGTATAACTCCGGCCCTTCGGGCTCGCGTATAACTCCGGCCCTTCGGGCTCGCGTATAACTCCGGCCCTTCGGGCTCGCGTATAACTCCGGCCCTTCGGGCTCGCGTATAACTCCGGCCCTTCGGGCTCGCGTATAACTCCGGCCCTTCGGGCTCGCGTATAACTCCGGCCCTTCGGGCTCGCGTATAACTCCGGCCCTTCGGGCTCGCGTATAACTCCGGCCCTTCGGGCTCGCGTATAACTCCGGCCCTTCGGGCTCGCGTATAACTCCGGCCCTTCGGGCTCGCGTATAACTCCGGCCCTTCGGGCTCGCGTATAACTCCGGCCCTTCGGGCTCGCGTATAACTCCGGCCCTTCGGGCTCGCGTATAACTCCGGCCCTTCGGGCTCGCGTATAACTCCGGCCCTTCGGGCTCGCGTATAACTCCGGCCCTTCGGGCTCGCGTATAACTCCGGCCCTTCGGGCTCGCGTATAACTCCGGCCCTTAGTTCCTTTCGGACTCGTATTACTGAGTATCCCAGATTCACAGATTTTAGTCGTGGAGGCGCAGGAATAAAAAACTGAGATTGAATTTTCGATTTTTGAGGGGTGGCTGAGCCTCTTCTGCCTCCTCTGACGAGCCGCCACTGGACCAAAATAATCCAACTAGTTTATCTATCTATCTGCCTTTAACTCATATGATATAATAAGTTCGATGGACGCATTGACAAACCAATCGATTCCAGCAATACAAAGAACTCAGTGATCGGTGCTTGCAACTTGAACGAAAAGTATGTAAAAACAATATTTTGATCTTAGGTTTCTCTCCAGAAAATTCAAAAAAAATTCCTAACGAAACAGTGGAAAAACTACATTCCTTGTTGGTTTAAGAGGGTAAAAGTAAAAATTGCGATTCATCTAAAAAAGGGTTTTTGTGAAAATATGGACATTTCCGTAAAGATGAAATAAATGCAGTGCTTTTTGTTCATTCGCTCAATACTGAAAATATTGCGACTGGTATGAAACCATACCAGTGAAAAATAAATCACTTCTGGTAAAGCTTGATACTGGAGCCCAATGTAATGGTTTGGTTAGCTACATAAATGACAGAATAGCTGTAATAGGTGAAGCTAAAGTGAAATGTCGTATTGATAAAACCTTAGTAGAGATAATATTCAAGATAGTCAATGAAGAGGTGCAGCCCATTCCAGGAAGAAAATACTGTCACGAACTAGGTTTCATTATACGTGTACATTCCTGCGAGACAACAAAGTCCAATGATAGCAGTTTTCAAGGATTGGGCTGCTTAAACAATTATGAATACAATATTGATATCTTAGAAAATCCAAAGTTGGAAATAAGGCCTGCAAGAAAAATACAATTTGCCATACGAGATGAAGTGAAAAAAGAATTGGAAATATGGTTAAGTAAAATGTCATTAAGCTTGTCACAGAACCCTACTCCTGCAGTCAGTCCGTTAGTAACTGTTAGGCTACAGATGTTAACAAAAACATTTTAAGAAGACATTATCCACTGAGACCATGGAAGAAATTTCAGCACAAATAGGTGGGTTTTGGAAAATAAAAGTTGCAGAGCAGTCTCAAAAATATCTCATGTTTTCAACACCATGGGGGTGTTATAGTTGCACTCGTCTACCATTTGGAATATGTTCAGCACCAGAGGTATTTCAAGAAAAAATGAGTTCCTTGTTAAAAAACATACCAAACACTCACTGCTCAATGGACGATATTCTTATTTATTCCGACTCCCAAAAAGATGTAGAAAAAATTACTAAAAAAGTAATGGAAACATTGGAAAATTCTGAATTGAAACTCAATAAGGAAAAATGCATTTTCGATGTTAAAAGAGTTTTGGACATATTTTGTCGGAAAATGGTATTGAAATTAATTATACCAAGATGGAAACTATCAAAAACTTAAAGACACCAACAAATATAACAAAAACTACAAAGGTTGTTAGGCATGATAACATATTTGAATAAATTCATACCAAATATGTCTGAGCTTACAGATCCTTTGCGAAAGCTTCTAAAAAATGATGTTGAATTTGAAAGCACTCTTAAATTTCAATTTTAACACTCCCTAATAAGTAACTATAATCATAAGAAAATTAATGTGAAATTTCTTACTCTTTGATTTTTCTCTTCTACAGTTTCATCTAAATCATCGGAAGCTTTGACCAATAATCGTACATCGATGGACTTGGACCGAGTCGAAGGCGGTGGATCGCTACCCCATTCGATGGTCATGGGCAGTAAATTGGAATGGAACTTCGTATGGTCCCCAGGATGCATAAAATTATAAATGCTCTTCCCTATAATTTCATCCTTGGCGTGTTTGATGTAGTTGATAACGTTATCAGTTACATGTTCGACCTATACACATTTAAATATTCAAAAAACTATTTTTTTAAATTAATAAACAAAAATAATATACCTTTCCTTCGCTATTAATAACAAACAGGAAACCTTCTAAAGCTTCCAATAATAACGGTCCATAAACCTCGTTTGATAGAATCGTCGGCCTGGACGACGACACTTCGCCTTGCTGGACAGGATCGGCGATTTGCTGGTTGTTGTCCTGCTGCTTAATCCTGCGGATCTGATTGACGGTTTCCTGGAGGATCGCACACTTGTCCGGCTTCACCGAGAGCGAGCTCATGTCCGCGAAATTGGCGGATATCAGCTCTGCCAGCTCCTCTATGTAGATGTTCTCTTGCTCTCGGCGTCGCTTTTCATTATTGCATTTGTTACTGCAACAATAATTGTAATTATTCAAGATATATTTGGTTAAAAGCAACTAGGCAAGCAATGTTGAAATATACGCTAAAATCTGCTTATACCTGTCTGGTGTTTTAATAATTGTAGTTTGATAGATGAAAAAAAAAAGTTAATTTGAAGAAGTAGGTATCCATTGCAGTTTAAATAGTAATTCTAACAAGCAATTTCTTGATTATTAAGTACAGCAAATTGTGTCAATTGTTGAATATCAGCTTTATATGTATATTTTAATATAAAAGCTTATATGGTGCTTATCAGACTTAATTTATGCTCTTGCAAAGTACAGAACATTTCATTCATCTAAACACCGAAAAAAGCTATATATTTCCGGTCACCTGTTTATATACCAGGTGACATTTTACGTAATCCGCAGACATGAGTTTAGAAGGTATTTTAAGCTGTAAATCTTACATATCCTTTCTACACATGCATAATAATTATTATGCGTTGAAATTAAGGAAATATCAGATTTTATTGATGATGCACCTAGTTTAAAACTTTGGACTTTTAGTATAATAATTTTAAATATCCAACAATTTTGATTAGGTACATTTTTTGTTGATTCCTGGCTCTTGAATCTTCAACATCTTCTAAGCTTCTTTGAATAAAGAAAATTCAGACAAATAGACAAAATATAAGAGCCTGGAATAGAAAAACTACGTCTAACAGTTTTAACAGTTTTTTCTCAATTTTCCCTAAGTTTCCTTTTTTATTTCTCATCCATTTTGTCGTTTCATTTTTTGTCTATTCCTGGCTCGTGAGTTTTCGTTTTCTTGTAAATTTTCTGAATAGAGAAAATTCAAGAGCTTGGACTAGAAATAAAATAATTTGTTTTTACTTGTCTATTAATTTTTACTCAATTTCTTTGGAATTTCTTCTCTCTATTTTTAAATTTTTCCAGCTCAATTTTTGTCTATTCCCGGCTCTTGAAATTGTCGAAATAAAGAAAAATCCAAGAGCCTAGTGTCTACTTGTCTACCAATTTTTTACCTAATTTCTCTAGAATTTTTTCTGTCTATTTCTCAATTTTTCTCTATTCCCGGTTCTTGCATATTTTGAAATAAACAAAAAATTCAAGAGCCTGGAATAAAAAAAACAAGGTCGACCAAATGGAAAAAAAGTTATGAAATCAAGTGTCTACAAATAATCTGTCATCAACTTTTTTTTAACTCGGAATAGCAACGGAAATACAGGGCAAAAAAGAAAAAAGTGCGTATGTATTTTGTAATCAAATTGCCCCAAGTACAGGGTGTTTTTTTATATATTGACACCCCACCTACAGCCTTTACCTTTACAGGTAGATGGAAGGTGTAAATACAAAAGTTGTACAGTACTGGCTAAATTTTTGGGATACATGGTCAGAAACAAAAATTGAATGTCAAGAAATATTGTATGCTTTCAAATGGAATGCGCTATATTTGGTTCTATATTTATATCTATATATATACTGCACAACTTTTGTATTTACACCTTTCTTCTATCTGTAAAGGTAAAGGCTGTAGGGGGGTGTCAATATATAATAAAACACCCTGTACAAATAGGTGGATTATTGCGGAACTTATGGGTGGACCTCTGCGGGACGAGCGCAGCGAGTTCCGCAGCCATCTACTTATCAATATATTGTTGAACTGTTCAAATAAGACACTCACCTGAAAAGTGTAGTTTTTGAACTAATAAGAATAACTCACATTTGAGTAAGTCAGGTTAGTATCGTAATTAAACAACATATTGATGAATATATGGCTGCGGGACGAGTGCAGCGAGTTCCGCAGCCATATATAAAAGGCAAATTGACAAAAAGTGGATAATCTTACAAATTCTGACCTTATATAATAAGTTATTGTTCAACTACAAATAAGTGGATGGTTGCGGAACTTATGGATGGGCCTCTGCGGGACGAGCGCAGCGAGTTCCGCAGCCATCTACTCACCAATTTACTGTTGAACTGTTCAAGTAAGAGATTCACCTGAAACGTGTAGTTTTTAAACTAATGAGAATAACTCACATTTGAGTGAGTCAAGTTAGTATCGTAGTTAAATAACATATTGATGAATATATGGCTGCGGAACTCGCTGGGCTCGTCCCGCAGAGGTCCACCCATAAATTCCGCAAAAATTCACTGATTTGTACTTGAATAACTTGTCACATTAGGTTACTAATTTCTGTTGAAAAGCAAATTGACAAAAAGTAAATACTTAATCATAATTTTGCAAATTTTGACTTTACATAATAAGTTATTATCCAAGTACAAATAAGTGGATTATTGCGGAACTTATGGGTGGATCTCTGTGGGACGAGCGCAGCGAGTTCCGCAGCCATTTACTCACCAATATACTGTTGAACTATTCAAATAAGACACTCACCTGAAACGTGTAATTTTTGAATTAATAACTGACATTTGAGTGAGTCAGGTTAGTATCGTACTTGAACAACGTATTGATGAATAGATGACTGCGGAACTCGCTGCGCTCGTCCCGCAGAGGTCCACCCATAAGTTCCGCAATAATCCACTCGTTTGTACTTGAATAACTTGTCACATTATGTAACTAGTTTGGTGAAGTAACATTACTAATTCCTGTTAAAAGGCAAATTGACAAAAAGTGGATAATCTTACAAATTCTGACTTTATATAATAAGTTATTGTTCAAGTACAGGGTGTTCTTTTTATAAATCGATACCTCACCTACAGCCTTCACCTTTACAAGTAGATGAAAGGTGTAAATACAAAAGTTGTACGGTATTGGCTAAATTTTCAGAATCCATGGTCAGAAACAAAAATTTAATGTCAGAAATGTGAAATGTTGCATGCTTTTAGCTTTTTTCAATGCCCTATATTTCCTTCTATATTCTTGAAGAGCACAATTTCCCGATTCCAAAACTATATAGTTTGTCTATATTTGGTCGAGCCGTCTCCAATATAAATATTTGGTTCTAAAAATTCTAAAAATGATATTAGAGAAACCATGCAAGTACCTTAAATTTTACCTGCAGCTTTCATCTGTACACGTAGAATGGTTCACAATATCAGTAGTAGGATAGTATTTTCACAATTTTTGGAGCCGAATATATGAGAGACTGTTCAATCAAATATAGACAAACTATATATTTTTGGAATGAGGGCATTGTGCTCTTCAAGAATATAGAATGAAATAGAGGGCATCCCATTTGAAAAAAGCTGGAAGCATGCAAAATTTCACATGTCTGACATTCAAATTTTGTTTCTGACCATGGTTTTTGAAAATTCAGCCAAAACTGTACAACTTTTGTATTTACACCTTTCTTTCACCTGCAAAGGTAAAGGCTGTAGATTGGGTGTCAATATATGTACAGGGTGTTCCGAAACTATTGTGCCAAAAATTAAGGGATGATACATCTCGCCAAAATAAACGTTTTTTCACTCATAAACCCATAGGCGCATGCGCTTTGGTTAGGTGATAATAGCACATTACAGTCCGCGCTGTGGTAGCTACGTTGCGCACGAAGAAACGTGTTTGAAGCAGAAACTGTGTTATTAAACAGTACAGAAATCCCAGGAATGCTTGCAGTATTTATTAAAAACAATGATTTACATCAGAAGATGTTCAAAATTACGACCACCCTCAATGCATGCGTAACAGCGCTATAGCATAGCCTGCTGAACACGTTGAAAAATTCCTGGCGTTTCGCGAATTTCAGCAGCTGCTGCAACAATCCTTCCCACTAACTATTCCTGTGTTTCAACTGAAGTGTCGTTCACTTTCATATGACATCATAGAAAAAAATCGCATTCGGTCAGGTCTGGTGAACCTGGAGGCCATGCAATAGGTGCGCCCTTAACAAACACTCTTTCCAGATTGTTTCGTTGAGATGTTCCTTTACGGCTTACGAGTAATGTGGTGGACCTCCGTCGTGTTGGTACCACATGTTTTGTCCGGCATACAGGGGAACAGTTCGGAAAGGGTTTCCTGCAGTCGATTTTTTTCACGTATGCATTGAGGCGGGTGGTCGTAATTTTGAGCATCTTTTGATGTGAATAATTGTTGCTAATAAATACTGCAAGCATTCCTTGGGTTTTGTATTATTTAATAGCACAGTTTCTGATTCAAACACGCTTCTCAGTGATTAAGGTAACTACCACAGCGCGGACTGTAATGTGCTATTATCACCTAAGCGAAGCGCATGCGCCTATGGGTTTATAAGTAAAAAACGTTTATTTTGGCGAGATCTATCATCCCTTTATTTTTGGCACAATAGTTTCGGAACACCCTGTATAAAAAAAGCACCCCCTGTACTTCAAGTTATTCTGGACATCCAGGTAAAATACAGTGATACAACTTTACTTAGAAATCAAACGACAATCCGACAATGCTGGTACTTGTTGTTGTGACGTAAACCAATCACAATCGTTTTTGAAAATTTAAAATCATTTAAAGAGTCTTACATTTTGGCAAGGGCCTCTTTCTCACAAAAATATAAAGGGAACTCTTGAATATAAAAACTTTGTGCAAGTGTAGTTTTTATAAAGTCAGTTGAAACAAGGTGAAGATAAATAACGTTTGGTGATTGAATATTTCCATAAGAAATGCACTGCCACTAGTCAGCCACCAGTTCCAATTTATTTTTACCTTGTTTCGATTGACTTTAAAAAGACTATACCATTATTGTTGGTTTGTTGATAAATTGTGTCAGTAACACGCTGGTTTGAGATTTTATCCTATGGCGAACTAATTTGCTACTGATCTAGAAATAAACGAGTTATATGGGAAAATAAAAAAGAAGAAAAACCATTTATAAGGTAGTCAGCAGCTGCCGCAATGTTCCTATTGTGGTTTCAAAGGGGAGGTTGACCCATTGGGAAGAAAAAGAATACAAACATCTGGCCGAAAAAGATAATGAAACACGATACCATATAATATTATGCATCAGGTTGACGAGATCCAATTAGGATTGCATGTGGTTTCAAGAAAAATAATAATAAATTGGAAACTTACGT